CTGGGAGGCTCTGGTGGGCCAGCTGCCCTTGGGCCTTCAGCTGGATGCGAGGAGTTACTGCTTGGCTTTGCAGCGCTGCTGTTTGGTGGGGCAGAGGGCTTGGGAACCGCTGCTCGGACTCCAGGAAGCTGCCCAGACCTCCCAGCTGAAAAACAGGTATCGCACATTATACATCAGGATTTCGTTTCCACTCATCAGATAAAACAGCGCAAAGAGCAAGCTATTCATCTTTCCCTCCCCAGTGGTTACCCAGAGCGATGAAACTAATTCTACCAAAACATCTCATATCTTGACAGGTTGCCCCTGGTGTAATGGGGCTTGGGAGGTGATGTGTTCCAGTGGGCAACAGGGACTCTGCTTAGTTATATGATGACCTGCTAAGGGACCCTGTTCCCCTCCCTGTTCCTCCGTTTCTGCAAAATGAAATAGTTTAAAGAGAAGGTGCTTTTCTGCAGAGGCCTGGGGTCCTTCCAATCAGCCTCGTCTGCCTAGTACCGCCCGCTGAACATGGATGAGCCGCCTGCTTGGAGGAACCGAGAGTCCTAGTGTAAAGGCCTCAGAGAACACAAGTAGATTGACACGCATCAGCTTGCATCCTTGAAGTTAAGTACTTGCTTAAAATTAAAAAATTCACACAAATGTTACATAAATCTCAATCTCGGGGATAAAAAAAGTTCTTACAAGTAGTGCCTCAAAGGCTTTCCGGAGGGCACAGGTGCAAATGTTTCCTTTTCAACAGCAAATGCCCAAAGAGTCTTGACCTTACAAAATGTATTTGGCTGAGTAAATACCAAGGATTTCACAAAGCAAGATGTCAAAAAAGGCATCTCATTCTGTATTCGCACAGTCTGATAGGCATGGTCATAGTTTTAAGAACAACTCGAAGTAGCTGCTGCAGCTGAAGCTACGTGAGGAAGCCCGGTCATGAGCAGTGCCGCACATCTTGGGCTTGCCTTCCAGGAAAAAAAGAAACCTGCAGGTAGAGCCAAGTTCTGTCTTTCCCTGCAAATGCCTACTTTGCTCTGTGCTGCCTGAGCAGGCACCAGAGGCCATTGCTGTCACTCTAAAAGTCACCCCTCTGATGCTGGCACTTCTTGAGGTGAAAGCAACAGTAGGGCTCCCACATGTGCCTTCCTCCTGTCTTTGTGAAGCAACAATAACCTTTCTCAGGTCAATAAACTACCTTGCTGAATCAAAGCTGTACTTCATAAAATCCAGAGGGGAAAAGTCTTAAGTCTTAAAGTAACACACAAGCCTGTAATACCACAGAAATAGACACTAATGGAGGGAAGGAAATGCGACTTCTTTGCCATTTGTGCTGAAGTTGATAAGCTCAGATTTCAATACTCTATTCGAGGCACAATTAAAAGTTTTCATTAAACTGATGTAAAAAGGCTCCATTAAAACTCTGTACAATCTATTCAATCTCTTTCCTACCCAGTAGGAAAGAGATAGCTTATTATTTACATTTTAAGGAATAAGGCACCTGAGATTTAGAAAGGTGATTTCAAGCACATTATTAATTGAGCCCTCCATGGTCACATGATGAACTGAGGGTTCAGAAAAAAACAACAAAAATCAATCACTAAAGCTAACCCCAAAGTACTTTTATCCCAAATCACAGTTCCCCCCAGCTATTCTTTCATACAAATGAAGCCCTTACCCGGCACGTCCCTCTGGCCTGCTGGTCTGAGAACAGGAAAGCCACCGGCAAATAAGCCTCCCAGAGGCTGCTGAGAGCTGCCTTTATTAATGGCTGGATTAACTCCATCTCTGTTAGTTCCTTTGGGTTCTGTTAAAAAGAACCAAAAAAACAGGCTGTATCAGAAAGTAATTTCATCCTGCCCTCAGGCTGCTAAGACTTGGCACCAACAAACATAGCCATGACCAGACTTTTCCCTCTAAGCAGGCTCAGCGAGGAGAGTTACTGTTAATACAGTAAACTACCATTACTCTCTGACCCCATCTTGGAGCACAGCACCCTCTGGTGCTTTTTAATCTCACATCAGTAATTACACCAACAAGAAGTTGCGTTAGACAACATTAAATTTATGCTTCCAGGTTTTTTTGGCATTTTTTGTTCTTTTTATCTGGTAAAAAGATGTAAAAAGTATTCTTCTGCCAGAGCCAACAATTCCTACTTAAACAATTATTTTATTGAGCAACTCTTAAGGATTTCATCATTCGTGATTTTTTTGGGACAAGGAATGCCTGTTGAAGTGATATCCAGTTACGGACTTATAATTAAGCGTTAGTAGTTGTTGATCTCGGAGCAGGATGCAAGTTTAGAAAACTGAACTCTCCTTGCTCTGTGTCCTAAAGCCATATGAAGATGCAGACCTTTGCTGAACTTCAAACCCGCCCTTCAGTTTGAAAACCGTCCAGCTGACCTCCACAACTGAGGCTTCAGCAAAGCTCACCCAGGGACCTTACTCAGAAGCACATACTTACTTTCAATCTGTGGTGCACTGCGGTCATTGATTTGAGTCACTTTTCTTAAGCGAGTTCCCTGCTGGATATCAGCTAACAGCGCGTTTCGTGCTTTTTGGTCTTCCTTTCGCAATTTTGGTACCTCTGAACTTGCCTGTTGACAGTAAGAACATTAGATGGGAGGTACAGACAAAAATGCGTGCTTAGAAAGGACACATAAGCAAACGTGGGATAGAGGATTTGAAACAAGCCGTCCTTGGCAGCTGTCATTTCAGAGCCTTTGAGTCGAATCAACAAGAACAGCATTCAGTTGTGTAGGAGGCAGGAAAGCTGAAAGTTTAAATGTAACACAAATCTAATACTAGCTGTGCTAATACTGTTGAAAGGAAATTGGGGGGCATGCTTAAATGCAATGTGACCTCTTGCTTGGCCATTTACGGTCTCTGCCCCACAATTCCGGCTCTGACTGCCTCTCTCATTAGCAATTTTCATGCTATTTACAATGCTTTACAACAAAGATTTTATATGCCACCTTAGAATAAACATCTTTGTTTTATCCACTTTGCCTTAGGAAAAAAGTCAGATAAATGCACACCGCGCTTAATATTTCAATGGGATCATTAACTGATTTAGACTGTCTCTCTGTATTGCAGATTTACACCAGTTTAAGTAGACTGTCTTTAGAACAATACAATTAATATTTTAGTAACTTTTCTAGCCTAACCAAGGTCTGCAAACGTAAAGTCAGGTTGTAGTTTAAAGTTTTGTAATAAAACCAAATGATATTTTTATTCTTTATTCTTATTTCATCAAGTTTCCTGTTATTTAAAAAAAAAAAATCAAATCTTTAAAGAGTTTGGACTTTTCACGTTTCTGAAGCAGATAGAAACTAGCAAGGCTGTTATTTCTAAACCTATCACGTGGTTAACAGAGTGGCCTAACAGAGGGGAATCTTCATGTCAGAGGAGCAGTGTGCTTCATGTTTCGACATCTACTGCAAATTCCCGTAGGTTAGCTAACTTCCTAAAGAGAGCGAATACCAGAAATGTTTCCATAGCCCTTAATTTTAGCATCATCATAATAATAAAGCAGAACAGTATTGTCACACTTTAAAACAAAAAGCCCAACTTGGTAATAGCATTCTGAAAGCAAAACAGACACTTGAAAATACTTAACCAGCTGCTGAATTAATAAAATGTCTTACTTGCGAATCCTAAATGAAGAATTATACCGGTACGATATTACTTGTGGTTATTTTTGTACTTGCTAAAAAAAAAAAAAAAAAAGCAAGCAAGCTAGATTTGCAGAGCCCCACTAGATGGCACTCCAGATCGCTGCTAATGCCAGCTGCATTCCTGACACCTGATGTAAAAACTCAGAATTATAATCTTGTGACTGATACTGTAACCATGTATTATTTAAAAATATTAGGAAAAAACCCACTTTGTTACATGGTTTCCTAATTTGAAGCAGCGCTGCCTGCCCTTGTGCTTTCAGGACAGCAAGTCCCACTGCCCGTGACAACAACCCAGAAAAGCTGCCTGTGTAAGCAGCGTTAGACCATGCACCAGCCAGAAACTATTTCCACTCACATTTTCCGTAAGTTGACAATACTTACTGTGAAAAATGGAAATACCATAACTGGAACAAGGGTGACTCCCCTTCTCACAAAAGCTTTTTACCAGTATCTTGAACTTCACGCCTCTCTACTCCCAGTAATGACTTTGCTGTAGCAGGACAACCAGGATCTAGAGGGATCTGATCAAGACCTATGTTTAAAATTAGATCCAGCAGCTGTGTTTTCATTTCTGGGTTCAAGTGTCCATATATTATGCCAGCTGTCCACTTCATCTCCCCGATCCACTTCTCTGAGCAGGTAGGCTATTGGAATATACGGTCTCGATACTCGAACAGCTGTTAGGCTAAAATACCCTACTTGCGGCAACTTATATTTGCGAGTGACCCATGCCATGGTATCACTTTAACATGGCTAATATATTAATTTGTTCACAATTTGTAGCATAAAAAAGCAGAAACACCATTCTGCAGGCCCATAACGCAGCGTAACAAGCTGCCTTTCTCTTACGATAGATGCCCTTACTTCAAGCACAACTCCATCCCACGCCCCAGCTGTTTCTTCTTCCTCCTCGTGTACATAAGAGATACGATCTTCCATGCCCAGCCTGGTGGACTCAGGTGATTGATTAGCTGCCGAGTAGCTTGATACGGATTCTCTTTTTCCATTACAAAGTCAAGATGGTCTGGGGTGTAGTGTTGCCTGGTTGCACAGCGGCCAGAGCTCCTTCGGATTTCTTGTTTGCTGCCTGCACTCCCAAGGCCGGTGACAATTCTTGTCAAGAATCGTTTCACCAGGTAAGTATCTCACCCACCCATCTACTGGTGTCCTGCGTTTGCAAATTCGTGTTTTTACCATATTGCTTTTTGATACACAATCGGAAAGGAACCTTCCTTCGATTAAGAGATTAGTCTGGGATTCACACTCATGCTATGCTCGCAATACGTAGTGCAACAGATACTAAAGATGTAAGTTGTGTATCAAGAGAAAAATAAAACCAGGTACTCTGAGTGTCAAATGTTCAATCCCGATCACATGAAATAGAGGCATTTAATCAGGAAGACAAATACATTTTCAGTCACAGAGGAAAAACAGCTGCAAGACAAAGAAAGTAATTCTTAGGCTGCTTTCTACCACCCCGTATGCTATGCCCGCAATACATAGCGCAACAGATACTAAAGATGTAAGTTGTATATCAAGAGAAAAATAAAACCAGGAACTCTTATGAGTGTCAAATGTTCAATCCCGATCACATGAAATAGAGGTGTTTAATCAGGAAGACAAATACATTTTCAGTCACAGAGGAAAAACAGCTGCAAGACAAAGAAAGTAATTCTTAGGCTGCTTTCTACCACCCCGTCTGCAGGGCAGCCTCATTTATTTACAAAAAGAGAAGCGTCTCCATCTTTCAATGAAAATCAGAAGGGAAGCAGAGAAGAATGAGAAGATCATTTGTTTTATCAGATGCCAGAGCTGCCTCAGGTAACACGGAGTGAAATTAAATGCCATGCTTTATTGACATGAATCGGTAAGGGAACGGTGGGTTCTCAGTACCTCAGTAACCGTTAGGTTATTCTGCTACTATTTCAGACAAAGAATGGCACATTCAGTACATACTTGGAAACAGAACAAACCACACATGTAAATAGCCTGAACATAAGAGATCTACTCCCTTCTCATCTCGCCAAACTCCACTACTTTTGTCTTCAGTGTCCTAAATTACACCCTCAGCCATGCCATTCAGTAAGGCATACGATCAATGTTTGGGCTGCCTGACTACTTTTGGGTCTCCAAACTACCTGTAAACAGGAAAATACCATTGAATCACAATATTTAGAGTGAAGTTCCAGAGTGTAAATCATCAATGATAGAAATAAACATTTCAAAATTTGCAGGTGATAGCTTAGACTGGCAGAGAAATGAATAATGAGGATGCCATGGTGGTTATACATAGCGATCCGAATCACTGCAACTCGAGGCCATTTGAAAAGAACAACAAACCAAAACATAGTGCTCCTCCACCACTGGGCGGGGGGGAACCAAAACCAAATGTAAAACTGAAAATCGCTGGGTGAAAAGTTTTGGCCATACCTCTGAAATGAAAGCCTGCATCCAGAGTGCCACAAGCCTGAACCTGTCAGCAGGCTCCAGCAGTGAGTGTGCACGAGCAAGCGTGCCTGACCTCCTAGCACAGTGCTGTGGCAAGGAGGGATAGCACGCTCCCCCGATGTATTTTTTCCTTTCAGAAAAATAATGCGAGCAAAAACGGAATTACAAGTTCAGTTCTGGTCTCCAGATCTTTAAAATTATGTTGAAAAACTGGAGATGCACAGGCAAGAGCCAACGTGGTATTCAAGCTGGAGGAAACGGTTCAGATTTTAGCAGCTCAGCCTGGTCCATCAGCCCTGAAGTCTATCTGAGGGGTGGTCGGCCTGCACAACACACAAACCTTTACAGGGAAAAATGACGGTGAGGACTCGGGGTCTGTTAATCCAGCAGAGACAGGCATTTGGCGAATTAATGCAAGACACAGCCAGACAAGCTCCGATTAGACAGCAGCAAGTACGGAAGCAGCCAGAGTGACCCACAGCAAAGGGCTGCAGGTGGCAGCAGGTTATCGATTTCTTGGTTTTCAGATCAAGGCTGGATCCTCTCCGGCAGAAGCACTTTTTGTGAAGCAGAAGTCACTGGGCCCCACACAGAGCCACCTGCTGACACGCAATACACCTTGCAGCGGGGAGGCAGCCAGCGGTTTGTAACAGTTTCTTCCAGGTTTGAGTTCTGGGAAAGTGAATCATTTTGTTTAGCAGAACAGCTCTGTTTACACTGTATACACAGACCACGCAAGGTTTGGCCCTGAATAATCACAATCTTAACACCCTAAACTGGGCTGTATCAGACAAATTAAGATCAGAGAGACTTTTTTAAAGAAAATGGACTGAAATCCATGGCAATGAGCTCCATTTCTGGGTACATTACTGCTGTGATACTTGCATCACCTTGGGAAAATCACTTTAAATCTTGCGAGATGGATGGGAGCATCAACCTACCCCCTGGGTTCCTGTGATACTTAAAATATTTAAGAGGTACACATGCTCAGATACGAAAACGATATAAATGCAGAAGGCACCAGCATTTGAAAAAGTTCACAGTAGTACTAATTATAGGGAAGTACTAACTATCATCTTTCAGATTTTAAAGAGCACCCCTGCACACAGAAAAGGCGAAATCCTCTGCACTCCAGGCAGGTAGTTCAGGTCACAGCAGACGCATACACTGCCCCATAAATGGGTTATATTTACTCTGATTTTTAAATACGCTCTTTACTGAATCTGCAAAATACTTCAGGGTAGTGTAGATCTTCATAAACATGACAGTTGCAGCAAAAATGTACCTCCAGCCGTCTGGACAATCCAGTAGCCAGGCAGTCGCCGACCTTTGTTTCAGAACAAACCCATCAGCTAATTGGGAAAAGAGGATCCAGTACTCCAGCTCTATAATAGGTAGGAGCCATAAGAACGATAAAATAAAGCACAATTCCATCCAAAGGCACTACATTCTCTTTTATTTCAGAGAACTTACAGTACTGAGTATTTATACCCCTAACATGTAATGAATTGTATCATCACAGTAGATTCCCTTTCCTGGTCACTTTTTATAGGAAATATTGGAAATACAGCTGTGTAGAAGAATTATTTATTTGCACTAGATAAAAAACCTAAAACAAAAAAGAAGTCAAAATACATTTAGCTCATCCCTAACTATCTATTTGGCGAGACATATACCGATAAAATTAAAAATCAATCAATCAATTTGACATGCAGTATTTTATTATGGGCAGAAAGAGAACTCTCTCTTTTGCTGACAATTTCATTTATTTCTGTGAGACTGGTTTCAATCGCCCTTCCTCTCTCCCATGCCCAATTTTTTCCCCCTAGACAAAAAGAAGGATGCAATGCAGAGATCAAGCACAGATACTGGCAGAAGGCATACGCAGCGTATATTTTAGTAAAAGAAGAGTTTAAGGACACCCCTTAACAAACCCTTGCTTTCTTACTATTTTTCTCTGCCACGCTCAGCCAAACCTGCACAGACATGGGCTGAGGCAAGGGATCTTCACCAACGCAGCATGCAACACCTCAGGTTTGGCTTTTAAGGAAGGGGAAAGACGTTGCAGCAGGATAAAGAAAGATGAGCAGAAAGCACTAAGGGATGCTTGATCACAGAGACACACATTCATGAAAACAAGAGGTCCTGGGCCAGTCCTGGCCTTCTCTGGCATCCAATCTGACATGATTCAGAGACCAAACTTAAACTAAGAAATGCAAAAGAAGAAGTCTACAAACATGGTAATGGACAATTAAAACCAGCATGTAGAACAGCAAACAGGGCAAAACCAGCAATAGCTGTGTAGGCAATGCAGTCAGTGACGTGACAGTGCCACGTCTGGCCGAAGAAACCACGCATCAACAGTGAGAGACAACTGAAACATCTAAATCTTAATTCAAGGACATGCAAAGCATCAAGGAAGAGCCTGAACAACTGGAAATATAACAAAAACCCCCAAATATTATTCCTATATTAACAATAACTGGAATCCTGGTGTAGACAAATATGGATTGTTCAGGAAAGAGGACAATAAAGGTGAAGCTAGCTGTGTAATGCTGTACGTGCGTCATGGTAGAGATGGCTAAGAATATCGAGAGGAAAACACAGCTTGTTTGGGGTTGGTAAATCATCTGAGGAAGGATGATGAGTGTTCTCACCGCCCATATGGCATAGCAAGGCTCTCCAAGTAGGAGAGCATGGAGGGAGAGGTGATGACTGGGTCCCCATCCAGCCATAAAGCTTTCCCTTGAAGGAAAGCCAGGCACAGGGCTGGTGCTCACAACAGTCTTGAAGGGCACAGACATAGAGTAAGGGGCCGTAAGGGGCAATATCCTGCTAAAATCCCCTTCTGGGAACACTGCTGATGAAAAAGAGTGGACTAAGAACAGGGGAGACCTGCTTGCGAGCAACTTACTCCATAACGTCCTTCAGCGTAACCACAAGCTGCTGACCACAAGTGTTCCATAAGGAGACCCCTGTAAGCATCAGGTCTAAGGTATTTAAATGAATTCGACTCTTAAAAGACTGCATCATTTTCAAAAGCAGA